TTCGCAAGTTAATGTAGGTGGTGGCTGCGTAACATTATGAATGTACTAAATGCCACTGAATTGTACACTTTTAAATTATTTACATTGTGAATTTCACTTTGGTAAAAAAAAATAATTTGTACATATTTTTAAAAATGATATAGAGCCTTTGATTTAGCAGTGATCATTTATATCTATAACTTTCCTAAGTTTAAAAATTTTAGCTTCATTGTTACAAAAATATTTTAAACTGTTTATAGTCGATTTTTTATAGCTCATCTTAAAAATTTACAAATTCAATCCTTTTAGTACTTTAACATAATTTAATTTTAGACTTTTAATAGGGTTCATATACTAGAGGAAGTGAAAAGTTAATGAAAATTAAATTATTTTAGAACATGTAATAATACTATGTATTGGTTTTCCCAGTTTATTGGGGAAGTCCTGCATCCAAAATAATTTCTGTGCTCTTACAGAAAACTTGAGAGACTACATGTAGAAAACTATAGAAGGCATAGCAATCTCACAATTCAGAAATCATCACTATTTTTATGTATTTTCTTAAGCCCCTTTCTCTATGCATTTATGACAAACCAGGGATCATAATGAATGCTTTTTCCATTGTAACCTGCGTTTTTTTTTTTTTTTAAGTAATTTTTTATTTAATTAATTAATTTATTTATTTTTTAATCCTCACCCGAGGACATTTTTCCATTTTTCACTCAGATAGAGCAGGAAGGAGAGAGAGGAAGAGAGAGAAACATCGATGTGAAAGGGACACATCGAGTGGCCGCCACCCACACGACCCAACCAGGGCCGGGGACAAACTGTAGCCAAGGTACATGCCCTTAGCGGGAACCGAACCCAGGTCTCTCCGGACCGCAGGCCGACGCTCTAACCGCTGAGCCAAACCGGCCAGGGCGTAACCTGCGTTTTTTCCTTCAACATTGTGGAAAATGTGTTTCATTAAATAGTCCTCAGAAATAAAATTTTTATTGATTCCAGTGATGATTATGTAATTCCACCTATTAATCTACCACAGAAATATTTTTGCCTGCCTATCTCATTTTTCAGACGGTAATTACTCTTCATAGGTTCCTGATACATACATTTATTTATTTTTTATTTTTTATTTTTTGTGGTACGTGCCCCTAGCGGGAACTGAACGCGGGACTCTCTGGTCCGCAGGTCATTGCTCAACCGCTGAGCCAAACTGGCCAGGGCCTGATAACATACATTTAAATTGTCCTATAGAATGTCCATGTTTACCACATCTTTACATATGTGTCCCTTTATCCTCTTCCCAATGTTGCAAGTGAGAAGGCGGTGTGCCCCCTGCTCTTCGTGAGTTCTGTGTTTGTGTTCTCTTACTTGGGGGTGGCGACTGGTCGTGAGACATCTTTACACACTAAGAATAATCATTATATTTGTCATAAAAAGATTTATGTAGATACTTTAAAGATTTTTGTAGTTAACTATTTTTTCTCTTTTTCCCCTTCCACTTTTTTTTTTTTTAATCCTCACCCGAGGACATTTTTCCATTTTTTGTTCAGATAGAGTGGGAGGGGGGGAGAGAGAGAAATATCAATGTGAAAGGGACACACCGAGTGGCTGTCATACACATGACCCAACCAGGGCCGGGGACAAACTGCAACCGAGGTACGTGCCCTTAGCGGGAACTGAACCTGGGTCTCTCCGGACCGCAGGCCGACGCTCTAACCACTGAGCCAAACCAGCCGGGGCCTTCTTCCATTGATTTAACCCTTGAAATGTCTCCATGTGGTCTTCCAGGTGACTCTGGTGATTCAGTATTTTTGTTCATGAACCATTGGCTTGCAATTTGTTAGTCCTTATTAAAATTATGATTCTATTTAATATCCTCTTGTACTGGTTGAAGGAAGATCATGTTTTTACCAGCTGTCCTTTTGTCATAGAGGGCAGAATACAACACATCATTGTCATCATATGTAAATATACGCCCATGTTTTTTCTTTTTTGTGTGTGTGGGTCTGACATAGAAAGCACTACAGTTTTCTTTGAATGAAGTCATTCCTTTGACAAGGCTAACTTTTCCTTTGTTTCCTTCTTTCCCCCGTCCTATGCACTGCTATATTAAAGGTATCTGCTTGGAGTCACTAAAACCAAAAGCAGTTGTTTTGGTTTGCTCTGTTTGTGAACTAGTTCGTCATAACTGCTCAGCTGAGTAACGATGTTGCCTAGACGTTGGAGAAAGTAAGGACCTGGAGAAGGGGTGAAGGGAATGGCGCTCGTGGGTTGCTGTGAAGATGCTCGCTGGCATTTAGGCACCCACAACCAGAGGCACTCTTCAGAAGACTCGTCCTTGCTCGGTGCCGGAGCATCTCCAGCTCAGGAGCAGTACCCAGCATGTTTAACTGCCTCCTCGGGTATAGAGTGAAGATTTTAGGGAATTCTAGTTCTAGTTAGGCTTTTGAGGTCCCCTTATGAGTATAGTATTATGTGTGTAATAATAATGGTTAATTTTTTTGATGGTGGGGGGTTGATCCTCACCTGAGGGTATTTTTCCCATTGATTCTTAGAGATAAAGTAGAAGGGAGGGAGGGAGAGAGAAACATCGACATGAAAGGGACACATCGAGTGGTTGCTCTCCCGCATGACTGCGAAAGGGGCTGGGGACCGAACCTGCAACCCAGGTGCTTGCCCTCTACTGGGAATGAAACCTGAGACCTTGGATCCACAGGCCGGTGCTCTCACTGCTGAGCGGAACCAGCCGGGGCAATGGTTCATTTTTGTTTGTTTTGTTTTTATCTCCTCTCTTATTCATTCCATATTTTGCCTTTGGATAGCAAGCTCCTTTTAAGTCAGGCTTATAGAATTTAAATGATAAAAATGGGGGTAAAAAAATAAAAGACAGTTCTGCCAAGAGTAGAATGGCGGACATCCGATGCCTGCTGGGGCCCGGCCTGGGGGTCCAGGGACAGTGAGGCCGTCTGTCTCGGCCTGGCGCAGGTGCCGCCCGTGGAGCACTACTGGGCAGGGTGTCACCCGGCGGGGCTGCTGTGACAGGGCAGAAGGAATAGAAGAAGAAGTAATGTAAAATAATTATGTCTACTTCATAGCGTTGTTGTGGGCATTAAGAAAAAAAGTAAAACAAGGGAAAAAATAATAAAAATGACTTTGTTGAAGTCTACCTAGGCACAACAGCTTCCAACATTTGAACCAAATGACAATTGAAACTGGTTTTAAGAATTATAAAGCAAATAATATAAAATTTTAATCAGAGCCATTTCAGTGGTTAATGATGTATGTGAATGGCAGTCTGCAGTCACGTTTTTTTTTTCCCTCCACATTAAGGTCCCTTGAGTAGTTTCCCTAGTGTGAAACTTACAAAAAGGTATCTGGCATAAAAGACTTGGGTCTACTTCCTCCTGAAAAGATCCTTGAAGAAAAGCTTCACTTTCCTGATTGAGTTTCAAGTTATATATATTCTTTCTTGCAGGCAGTAGTTATTTTCTCTTCAATAACAATTTTCATAAGTTAAAAGTTCTCTCCCTGGCAGTGTAGCTCAGTGGTTAAAGTGTCAGCTCCTACACCAAAGGGTTTCGGGTTTGATTCCTGGTCAAGGGCACGCACTTAGGTTGCAGGTTTGATCCCCAGCCCCAGTCCAGGTTCATGCAGGAGGCGACCAGTCGATGTGTCTCTCTCACATTGATCTCTCTCTCTCTTCTTTCTTTCTCTTTCTCTTTCTTCCTTCTACCTTCCCTCCCTCCCTCCTTTTCACTCTTTAAAAATCAATGGAGCCCTGGCCGGTTTGGCTCAGCGGTTAGAGCGTTGGCCTGTGGTCCGGAGAGACCCGGGTTCGGTTCCCGCTAAGGGCACATACCTTGGTTGCAGTTTGTCCCCAGCCCTGGTTGGGTCGTGTGGGTGGCAACCACTCGATGTGTCGCTCTCACGTCAATGTTTCTCTCTCTCTCTCTCCCTCTCACTCTATCTGAACAAAATATCGAAAAATGTCCTCGGGTGAGGATAAAAAAAAAAAAAAAAAAAAATCAATGGAAAAAATATCCTCAGATGAGGATTAACAAACAAAAAATTTTAAAGTTCTACTTTTCACATCAACACAAAAGACAAAGGCAGAAGTTGAAAATAAACAATTTCAGCCCTAGCTTCAGTGTTCTGGGCTACAGAATGGCTTGGGTTATTTTGGAAAATATACAGAGTAAATCTTTAATAAATTATGATCATTGTCCTATGTGTTTTTTTGTTTACTTTTTATTACAAATTCCAGTGTATTTAAGGCAAAATAGTGGCCCTTCCTATCATCTCCCCAATTTTATTCATTGTTTTATTAGTAAAGAAAAATGGAAAAGTTAAGGGTTTCAAAGTGATGCACGTTGTTGGAATTGTGAATCTGTTTGCTGTCTGGTGACTGTTTTTCATCCTTTTACTTAGGTATGGGTACTTTTTCAGATTTCACTTATATCAAGTATTAAAGCTATTATAAGAATGGTCTCTGAACGGCCTCACTTGTTCTTCTCCAGTTCATTGTGCTCTTCAAAGGATTACCAAAGACTACAAATTATGTAAATAATTGAGCCTAAAACTTGTACCCTGTTTTTGTTTCTGTTTTCTCTTCAGATAGAGCAGGAGGGAGAGAAGGGGGAAGAGAGAGAGAAATATCGATGTGAGAGAGACATATCGACTGGTTGCCACACACACACCCCCAATTGGGGCCGGGGACAAACTGCAACCAAGGTACATGCCCTTAGTGGGAACCAAATCTGGGACTCTCAGGTCTGTGGGCCAATGCTCCAACCACTGAGCCAAACCGGCCAGGGCTTGTATCCTGTTTTAAATCTCCATTGTTTTAATGCTGTGTGCTTACATAAATAGTCAGATTAATTTGTAATTGTAATATAAGTGCCCTAGCTATCTTATACTACTTATTGAGTAGATTGAAATCATTGAACAATGAGTGTTGACTCAGAGTGCAGAACTGTTCTGACACTGTAATTGACTCCACGCTTACTGGCCCCTCACAGGAGACTCCTGTGCTTACCAGAACAGAAAAACAGAAGCGCAGGGAGGAGGAGGAGGAGCGCCAGCTGCTGCTAGCAGTGCAGAAGAAGGAGCAAGAGCAGATGCTCAAGGAAGAGAGGAAACGGGAGTTGGAAGAAAAGGTCAAGGCAGTGGAAGGTATGTGGGCTGTGTGCGCAGTCTGGACGGCACAGGTGGTGTGGGAATGGCACTCCTGTAGCCAAAGCACAGTTCAGTTCCGTCGTTTATCGGAGCTGTTTCTGGCCATTTCTAACTTATAAATTGTATTTTCTTTTGTTTATTTATCTGGGTCCAGCCTGGTTGCCATTACATTCCTGCTGAAGCACTGATGTTTGTGGTCTTGTGTCTTCTTTCTTTTGTTTATTCTCATTTCTGCTTTGTCCCTTATATAGAATAGAAAACAAATTAAATATTGATGACAACTAATTTCACAGGAACTGTTTTGTTTTTTTAATTTTTATTTTTCCTTTATTGATTTTAGAGAGAGAGGAAGTGAGAGGGAGAGAGAGATAGAAACACCTATGAGAGAGAACATTGATTGGCCGCCTCCTGCACGCCCCCACTCGGGATCGGGCCCACAACCCGGGCATGTGCCCTGACCAGGAATCGAACCGGCGACCTCTTGGTGCCTGGGTCGACGCTCTACCACTGAGCCACATCAGCTGGTCCACAGAAATTTAAATACAAATGAAGTGTGCTTAAGAAAAGTCTTAGAGATTTTTTTCAGCTCTGACACTATACAAATCTAGAATATTACAAGGGTAAATACTTTTCTCCAGCTTAGATCCAGGTCTTAATGTAATGAACTTTCTTCATTTGTGATCACAGCAACGGATAACGACTGGATGTGTGAGTCCGAGCCACCTTTATCAGCTGAGCTTAGCAGATCATTCAGCTTGGCTGAGTGCCGACCGGTGTTTATTCTCTTTTAAATAAATGTATTGAACTTTAAGGTTTTTGTTTTTTTACTAAAATGGTATGATATGGATTTGATTTTTATTCAGTGTTTTATTGCAAAATTTAAACTAATTTTGGTTATAAGAGTTAAAGGTTTCTGCCCTGATGTGCTTTTTACAGCCCATTCCTAGGGAGCGCCTTCTGTTTCTTAATAGGTCAACCTGTACCTACCTGTTCCTTCATTCTATTCCTAGTGTGCTTAATCTGCAGATTGAGCGTGTGCCCTGTTACGTAGTATATCCAACTTACAAAATTGTGCGCGTTTTATTTCCGGTGCTAGGCTTAAATTCCTTGAGGTGATAACTGACTTTTATTTCTTTATAATTTCTCAGTGGGATTTTGTAATTTTCAGTGGAATTATTATTGGGTACACTATTGTCAGTTTGGCTTTTAAGTTATTCAGACAGGTCCAAAACTTATTCTTGTGGCTTAGTTTCTGTACTTGTAAGATTAATAATACTTGTGTTATAGATTGTTTTTTAAATCAACAAATATTTTTTAGTGCCCACTCTGTGCCAGGCGCTGTTGCAGAAATACAGTGTTAAATAAAATAAGATACTACTTGCCCTGGCCAGTTTTGCTCAGTGGTTAGAGCGTTGGCCTGCAGATTGAATGGTCGTGTGTTCGATTCCCAGTCAAGGGCACATATCTAGGTTGCAGATTCCATCACTGGCCCTGGTCAGGGTCGTGTGAGAGACAACCAATCGATGTGTCTTTCACGTCAATGTTTCTCTCCCTCCCTCCCTTCCACTCTATCAAAAATTCAATGGAAAAATATCCTTGGGCGAGGATTAACAAAAACAATAAATAAAATAAGATACTCCTTTCATGGAATTGACATTGTAATGGTAGCAAAACACAGTAAACAAATATTATAGAACCATAAATAATGGTTAGTAATATGAAGAAAAGTAAAACTGGTTTAGAGTGTGCCCTGGCCGGGTTTGCTCAGCGGTTAGAGCGCCAGCCCATGGAACAGAGTCCTGGGTTCGGTTCCTGGTAAGGGCACGTACCTCAGCTGCGGTTTGTCCCCGGCCCCTGTTGGGTTGTGTGGGTAGCAGCCAGTCGATGTGTGTCTCTCACATCGATGTTTCTCTATCTCTTCACCCCTCTTTCCCTCCCACTCTATCTGAAGATAAGTGCAAAAAAAATGTCCTCGTGTGAGGATTAAAAAAAAGGAGATGTAAGGATACACATGGCATTTAAATAAGATCGTCGAGCCCTGGCCAGCTTGGCTCAGCAGTTAGAGTGTCGGCCCTCAGACCAGAGTCCTGGGTTTGATTCCTGCTAAGGGTATGTACCTTGGTTTCAATTCGTCCCCGGCCCCAGTTGGGGTCGTATGGGTGGCAGCCAATCGATGTGTCTCTCTCACATCAATCTTTCTCTCTCTCTCCCTCTCCCTCCCACTCTGTCTAAAGATAAATGTAAAAATATCTTTGGGTGAGGATTAAAATAAATAAATAAAATCGTCAAGATGGCCATCTGTGAAAATGTGACTTTTTTGGTTTGTTTTTTAAATCCTCACCAAAAGACATTTTTGCATTTATCTTCAGATAGAGCAGGGGGGAGCGAGGGAGGAAGAAAGAGAGAGAAACATTGAGTGGTTGCCACCCACATGACCCCAACCGGGGCTGGGGACAAACTACAACCCAGGTACGTGCCCTTAGTGGGAACTGAACCCGGGATTCTCTGATCCGCGGGCCGATGCTCCAGCCGCTGAGCCAAGCTGGCCAGGACTGAAAATAGGACATTGAATAGTGCAGTGAGTGTGGGCGTCCGTGACTGTCTGACGGGAGAGCGCTGCAGGCAGAGGGCGCGAGGGCAGAGGCTGGGTCGGGCCCAGCCAGGTGCCGGTGTGCACACGCGAGGAGCAGGCTGGAGGGAATGCGCTCAGGCAGGTGAGTCGGGGTCATGTGTAGGGCTGTGCAGAGCCTAGTAAGAAGGATTAAATGGGAACAAAAACAATCCCTGGCACACAGGAAGCTCACAAATGATAGTCATCATACAGAAAATGTAGAAAGCATGTTTACAAGGTATACGATAGTTACCAACAATAACTTTCCTGGCTTCTTAGTAGCTAAGGTTTTAAAAAGGGAAATAATAGACTATTTACTGATAGGAGAGTTCATATTTTAAACAACTAATATAGATAAACAAGCTTTTTGTGACATTAAATTCTAAGCTTTCATTATGTGGGCCTTTTTACCATTTAACTGATACGTGGGTTGAGGGTGAGTCAGAACATATTTCATATTCATGTTTAAGTTCTGTTTATAAAAGGAGCAAACAGCTTACGACTAGTTTTGTTCTAGTGTATGCCTCCACACATTGCTGGCCGTGGGCTACTAGCACGCTCTCCTGTAGCTGCTGGAAAACTCGTGTGCTACGACACAGAAGCGTGTTTCCAAGGGGAGGCCTCATAGCTTTCACTTGTTTAAATAAATTTGAAAGGAGGGAAGTGGGTTAAGAAAGATATAAAGGGTCCGGCTGGTGTGGCTCAGTGGTTGAGCGTCGACCCATGCACCAGGAGTTCACCAGTTTGATTCCCGGTCAGGGCACATGCCCAGACTGGCCCGATCCCCAGTGGGGGGCATGCAGGAGGCAGCCAATCGATGTTCTCTCTTATCAATGTTTCTATCTCTCTCTGCCTCTCACTTCCTCTCTCCCTAAAATCAATAAAGGAAAAAACCAAAAACATTTAGCTAGAAAGAAGCAGCCCAAATGGAAACAACTCAGATACCGTCAATGGATGAGTAGATAAACCAAATGTGGTATAATCGCCTTTCCATAACTGTGGTGGTTATCATGTTCACCTCACAGAATGTGGTTTGTACTTACCATGGAGTATGTGTTAGCCTTATAAAGAGAGGACTTTCTGACACCTGCTACAACATGGCTGGACCTTGAACACATTGTTCTTGAAATGAGCCATGGTGAGAGGACATCGGGAGTTTGATGGGTACAGAGCTTCCATTTGGGATGGTGAATAAGTTCTGGAAGTAGATAATGGTGATGGTTGCACAATATTGTTAATGTGATGCTACTGAATTGTACACTTAAATGGTTTTAAAAGATACTTTTTATGTACTTTTACTAAAACATTAAAAAGGGGAAAAGGCCAATAAAGGTACTGCTGTTAACTAGTGTTGCGTTTACATACAAAGGATACTGCAAGATTGGATTATAAAATAGTCATGCTAAGTCCGAATGGAAGTGGACATTATTGAAACTTCCTTGTTTTTATTTTATTTTATCTTTTTATTATTTTTTAATACTCACCCAAGCATATTTTTCCATTTATCTTCAGATAGAAGTGGGGGGGGGGGGGACACATCAATGTGAGAGAGACACATCGATTGGTGGCCTCCCGCATGACCCCAACCAGGGCTGGGGACCGAACCACCGAGGTACATGTCCTTGATAGGAATTGAACCCACAACTCTTTAGTCTGCGGGCCGATGCCCAGCCACTGAGCCAAACTGGCCTGCGCTTCCTTGTTTTCTTAATAGTTGATAGGCTGTCTGAAAACTCTTATCTCAGATCCATTATTCTACGTACATGTCAGTTCCTAAGATAGTTCCTTCCTTGGTTAAGATTTCAGATGTGCTCTTACAAAAGGGATTTATACAATATTAGAAATCTTAACTAAGGAAGGAAATTTATCAGGAACTGTTTTTAGGGAAACTAAAAACATTAGTACCTTAGGTTGAATTGTGGGTGTGGAGTGGTCAGTCTGGAGAATTTCTGTTTCTCCCCAGGGATAACCACCACACCTGAATCCCTGCAGCAGATGAAGTGAAAATTAGATGTTGAAAGCACCACTGTGAACAATAGTTGGTGCATGCAGTAGACAAAGAAGGAATATATTGAGCATTATTAGATATAAAAAGGAATTGTAAAATAAAGAGAAAATAACCTTGATGAAAATACAGGCAGATTCAAAGGAAACAAATAGAACTCTTAGAAATGTGAAGTATGCCTGTAGTGTTAATAAGCAGGTTAAGTGGTTTAGGTACTCATCAAAGTGTGTCAGCAACTTCCAGTCATGATGGCAGGTAGGTAAACGCAGTATCGCATCCTCCCACAACCACATCAAAGTCACATCTAAACTACAGAACAATCATCATTCAGAACCGCCTGAAATCTAGCTGAATGGAAGTCCTACAACTACGGCATTAAAG